AAACGACCCAAGATTAGGTAACCTGAATTGCATGGGAAAAAATGAGTTTCGAGCCAAGCTCCTCGAAAATTGGCAACGAGTGCATCATCCCAAAATTCCAACACAGGGAAAATATTCCAGAATCGCGGTGAAATGGGCGGACGAGGTTTGACGTCGTCCACGCTCCTCGCCTTCCTCTTTTCCGCTCATCGCATTTCTCTGTGCTCCCTCCCTTTGCATATTCATAAAGCTCCGCACCGCAGACTATCCATCACCTCCTCTCCCAGGGAGATTTTCTAAGGCGCCCAGAAGATCACTCTCATGCAATGCAACCCTCGTAGAAGAAATTCCCTTCTGCAACCCTTTTCTCACCCTCCCTTGCTTCGCATGTGCATATGTCTCCGCAGATAATTCATCCCCTTCCCCCTAGGGAGTGGTGATCCACGGCTCAGGTTGCGCCACGTGTCTGCGTGGGCAACGTTGCTTCTTCCGCGTGTCCGTGCGCGCGCCCGCGCGCTGGGCGCACGTGCTCAAGGCGGAGAGCTGGTGGAAGCGCGACTTACCTCTGACTTTAAGAGGCTCCGCGCTAGCCCACGGGGACATTAGGTGTCTAGACCCTCCGCATTGCACGGAGTTTAGAGTGTCGTACCGCGTGTGGGACCTTCATCCCAAAATTCCTTTTTGGGATTTGAAGGAAAGGAGCGACGAAGTCCCAACTTCGTGTGCGCGTGCCAAGTACCTGTTGAGATAGTAAGAGTAGGGCCTAGGCTTAGTAGCCTAGGCCAGAAGGTCGAGGGAGTTTAGTAAGGAGAAAAAGGTGGGTTCAATAAAGAGAGGGTACAAGGATATAGGCAAAGCAAGCAAGGTGCACCACCAAACAATGTAACACTACACTAACTACTGCTACAAGCAGTTTATATAAGAAATATATTTGAACACACCCCCTAAACTGCTTGCAGCAGGAAGCTAATGCAGAGACACCCCCTGAAGGGGTACACCAAGCGCAGCAGAAGGAGAGGGCAAGTGAGGAGGAGGGACTATATGAGGAGAAGCTGCTGGTAGGTGAAGCTGCTGGCTCCAAGGCGGCTGCTTCCTGGAACCTTCCCCAGTCCTCCAAATCCCCCTTCCACACTCCTCGACAACCCTAGCACCTCTCCCCTAGCTCCCCCACACCCTCACACCCACCCCCCCCAGCAGCAGTTGCAGCAGTGGGAGAGAAAGGAGGAGGAGGGGAAGGGGATCACACATACCCATCACCCCCATACCCGCCACCCCCATAGCCTCCGTTCCACGGCTGCACGCGCAGCAGGGAGACGAAGAAGGGGGAGGGGGAAGAGCAGGGGCAGCATAGGCACGGGCAGGGCAGCCGCGCGTGCTGGGCAACAGTGCGGAGCAGAGCAGGGGCAGCAACAGGCGGCAACGGGCAGCACAGGCACGGGCAGCAACGGGCGGCGACGGGCAGCACAGGCACGGGCAGCAACGGGCGGCAACGGGCAGCACAGGCACGGGCAGCAACGGGCGGCAACAGGCAACACAGGCACGGGCAGCAACAGGCAGCACAGGCACGGGCAACAACGGGCGGCAACAGGCAGCGCAGGCACGGGCAGCAACAGGCGGCAACGGACAGCACAGGCATGGGCAGCAACGGGCGGCAACGGGCAGCACAGGCACGGGCAGCAACAGGCAGCAACGGGCAGCACAGGCACAGGCAGCAACGGGCGGCAACAGGCAGCACAGGCACGGGCAGCAACAGGCAGCACAGGGAGGCAGTCGTACCGAGTCCAGGAGCGGCGGCGCATGCAGCTGCAGGGTCGGAGCCGCGGGGTCCAGGGGCGGCTGCTGAGGTCCAGGGGCGGCTTCACCAGGGGCAGCTGCTCCAGGGGCCAGGGGCGGGTGCTCTGGGTCCAGGGGCGGCTGCAACAGGGGTGGCTGCACCAGGGGCCAAGGGCGGCTGCGGAGGTCCAGGGGCGGCTGCACCAGGGGCGGCTGCTCCAGGGGCCAGGGGCGGCTGCTCTGGGTCCAAGGGCGGCTGCTTCAGGGGCGGCGGCGGCTGGTCCAGGGTCCAGGGGCAGCTGCTCCAGGGGTGGCTGCACCAGGGGCCAAGGGCGGCTGCGGAGGTCCAGGGGCGGCTGCACCGGGGGCGGCTGCTCCAGGGGCCAGGGGCGGCTGCTCTGGGTCCAAGGGCGGCTGCTCCAGGGGCGGCGGCGGCTGGTCCAGGGTCCAGGGGTAGCTGCTCCAGGGGCGGCGCTGGTGCATGGCAGAGGCGGTGGCCAGGGGGGAGGGCGCCGCGACGAGCAGGGACGGCGCCCAAGGGGCGCCGCGACGAGCAGGGACGGCGCCCAAGGGGCGCCGCGACGAGCAAGGGCGACGCCCCAGGGGCGCCGCGACGAGCAGGGGCGACGTCCAGGGGGCGCCGCGACGAGCAGTGGCGACGCCCCGCGGGTCCCGCTGGGGAGTCGCGACGAGCAAGGCGACGCCGCGCGGGTCCTGCAGGGGCGTCGCGACGAGCAGGAGCGGCGACGCCCGGGTCCCGCAGGTGCATCGCGACGAGCAGGAGCGGCGCATCGCAGGGCGCCGCGAAGTGGAGGGTACGTGCGGGCAAAACAGGCCCGCGCGTGGACGTGAGGCAGGCGCGCAGGCGGCGTGAGGGCAGGCCGCGCACGGGGCAGGAAGACGCCGCGCGCCCAGGGCGCACGGCGGGCAGAAAACTGCCGTGCGCCCCGAGCACACGGCGAGAAAAATACGCCGCGCGCCCGAAGCGCGCGGCAGGACGATAGGCAGAGGAAGCACATTGGTGGGCCCGTTAAGGAAGGCAGTAGGAAGGTACCTGCTCTGAATACCATGTTGAGATAGTAAGAGTAGGGCCTAGGCTTAGTAGCCTAGGCCAGAAGGTCGAGGGAGTTTAGTAAGGAGAAAAAGGTGGGTTCAATAAAGAGAGGGTACAAGGATATAGGCAAAGCAAGCAAGGTGCACCACCAAACAATGTAACACTACACTAACTACTGCTACAAGCAGTTTATATAAGAAATATATTTTAACAGTACCGTTAGAGTGTAGCATCAGTTGGTATAGTGTAACCCCCCTCCTGGTAGCGATTGCACTTGCACAACCATCCCGGAAGCGAAGTGTAGTCAAAGTAACTGGGGTGAAATACAGACATTGTACAATCCACTCCTCCAGCCTGCTCGTACAGCACTGGAGGGCACGATGTACCTACTCACCCTAAAAAACGGCTCTCCCCTTAGAAACAAGTGTGTATGTACCTCAATTCATCGCGTCCAACACCCGCTGAGTTTGGAGGAGGGGCTAGTAATTGTTGTCAAAATTATATACTATAGTCTGTCTAGGCTATAATGGGGTAGACAGTATGGGGTACAGTTCTCTAGGGTTTCATATTTGTACCCAACTCATTTTCTAGTTCATCATTCATTCCTCATTTTTTCACATGATATCAGAGCAGGTTCCCTAGTGGGAGCGCTTCCTAGGGCCCACCACTGAAATTCGATAATATTTTTTTTTTCTTGCCCGGAGCGCGAGTCGCCCCTGCCCGAGGCGCGCCCCGTGGGCTGCCCTCCCGTCGCGTCGCGCCCTCTTAGAGGCCCCTCTCACGGCCCCTCGCGTCCCCTTAGCGGCCCCGTCGCCGCCCTTAGCGGCCCCGTCGCCGCCCTTAACGGCCCCGTCGCCGCCCTTAGCGGCCCCGTCGCCGCCTGTAGCGGCCCCGTCGCCGCCCCTCGCGGCCCCGTTGCCGCCCATTGCAGCCCTGTCGCCGCCCTTGCGGCCCCGTCGCCGCCCTCAGTGGCCCCGTCGCCGCCCGCAGCGGCCCCGTCGCCGCCCTTGGTGGCCCCGTCGCCGCCCACAGCGGCCCCGTCGCCGCCCCTCACGGCCCCGTCACCGTCCTTGCGGCCCCGTCGCCGCCCCCCGCGGCCCCGTCGCCTCCCTCGGCGGCCCCGTCGCCGCCCGCAGCGGCCCCGTCGCCGCCCCCTTACGGCCCCGTCGCCGCCTGCAGCGGCCCCGTCGCCGCCCCTTACGGCCCTGTCGCCGTCCCTCGCGGCCTCGACGCCGCCCTTACGCGGCCCTGTTGCCGCCCTCTCGCGGCCCCATCACCGCCCTCTCGCGGCCCCATCGCCGCCCTTTCGCGTGTCAGTAGAGCTACACTGTGAGATCCCCGATCGATCCTAGGGGGGGTTACAGGCGCGTTTGCCTGGGGGGTTATGGGCGCACTGACCCGCTACTGAAACAAGCCCTTTTATCCCAATGGTCTAGTGGTTGGGATTCTGACATGGTATCAGAGCGGTCTTGGGTTCGAATCCCGGTGTATGCACATGTTGGCCATTGCCACTGTGCTTAGTCCTGGGCCTCCCAGTGTGGGGGGCTGTCAGTAGAGCTACACTGTGAGATCCCCGATCGATCCTAGGGGGGGTTACAGGCGCGTTTGCCTGGGGGGTTATGGGCGCACTGACCCGCTACTGAAACAAGCCCTTTTATCCCAATGATCTAGTGGTTGGGATTCTGACATCGCGGCCCCATCGCCGCACTCTAGCGGCCTCGTCGCCGCCCTTTGCGGCCCCGCCGCTGCCTCTTGCGGCTTCTGCCCCGGCCGCCGTCGCCACTGCCGAGCCGCCGAACCGCAGCAGCCGCCACCACCGTCGAGCCGCCACGGCCGAGCCGCCACCGCTGAGCCGCCGCCGAGCTGCCGAGCAGCCGAGCCGCCGCGCCACCGAGCCGCCACCGAGCCGCCGAGCCGCTGCCGCCTTCGAGCCGCCGCCGCCGTCGAGCCGCGGCCAACCGGTCTGGTAAGAGCACTTCCGCGCAGCACCACTACCACTGCGCTACCTCTAGCCTGCTGCTCTCACCTCTAGGCTGTTGGTGTCATGGCTACCCCCAGTGTCCTTACCTTTGATGCTGAGGGTTGAGCTGTTGACTTTGAGGTCTGGGTCGATGATCTGCAACTTTTCCTACGTGGGCAGACGGTCTCTCCCTGTTCGACCTCACGTCTGGTGCCTCTCCTGCCCCGCCTGCTGATGCTGACAGCACTGTTCGCTCACAGTGGGCCACACGCGATGCTGCTGCCCGTCTTGCTGTGCGTCGTCACTTACCGACCACTGAGCGTGCGCATTTTAGTCAGTACAAGAATGCTAAGACCATGTACGACGCTATAGTTGCACGCTACTCTTCCCCTGCCACTGCTGCCCTTAGCCGCCTCATGCTGCCGTGCCTGTTTCCTGACCTCGCCGCCTTTCCCACAGTCGCTGACCTTATTACGCACCTTCGCACTAGTGACACTCGCTACCGCGCTGCACTTCCTGCTGAGTTCTGCGCCAAGAACCCCCCCCATGTACATCACCCTCTACTACATAGTCACCCAGCTCCCTGACTCCCTTCGCTCGGTCAGGGACCACTTCCTCTCTGTTTGCCCCACTTCACTCACCGTCGACCTCCTCAAGGAGCGCCTCCTGGCAGCAGAGAAGAGTATAGTCGCAGTAGGAGCCTCTCGTGGTGACCCTCGTACCCCCTTCTTTGAGGGGTGTTCCCCCTCCCCCCTCTTGCCCTCTGTTGCTTCTGCTGCTGCGGCCGACCTCGTCGGCCTCGAGTCGGTCGGAGCTGCGTCTGCCCCTAGCGGGAGACGCCGCACAAGCAAGGGCAAGGGGGGCAAGGGCGCTGGAGGAGCTGGCGGGGGCGGTGGAGGTGGCGGTGGAGGCGCTGGTGGGGGTGGGGGTGGTGGTGGGAGTGGTGGCAGGGGTGGGGGCGTCGGTGGCGGCAGTGGAGGCGGAGGAGGCGGCGGCGGCGGCGGTGGGAGCGGAGGAGGCGGAGGTGGAGGCGGTGGAGGAAGTGGAGGCGGCAGTGGTGGAGCTGGTCGGGGTGGCTCTGCGCAGAGGGGCGGCTCCAGTGGTGGACAGCGCCAGCAGCAGCAGCACACTCGTGAGACCCCCTCCCCCCAGCAGCTTCGTGAGTGTTACGTTGCGCGTTAGCGGGGTGGGGGTGTTGGTCCCTGTACCTACGTTCTGCGCACCGGTGACCGCACGGGTGAGCAGTGCGGTGGTCCGCACTCCACCCAGCGCTGCTTCGGCCGTCTAACGGACGCTTGACGTCACCAGTTCCCTGACGCCATTGAGATCCCTCGCTGGGGCGAGCTGTTTAGGGCGGGGGTTGCTATTTTTGATCTTGATTATGATGCTATCCTTGCTGCTATGTATGCTGTGTCTACTAGTGATGAGGGTGACTGTTACCTGTGTGTTCCGCCTGACCCGGGCATTGGGACTGCTGCTCTAGGTTCTGGTGAGGCTGCTGCTCTAGGTACGAGTGAGTCTGCTGCCCCAGGTACTGGTGAGTCTGCTCTCTCAGGTACCACGTCGGCTCAGGCCTTGCACACCTTCACCCTTGACTCGGGTGCTTCCCGCTCCTTCTTTCGAGACCGCACCACACTCACACCGCTTAGTCGGCCAGTTTCGGTCTCTCTGGCAGACCCCTCTGGGGGTCCTGTCCTTGCCCACTTCTCCACTGTCTTACCGTGTCCAGCGGCCCCCTCTAGCACCCTGCCCGGTCTTTACCTCCCCTCGTTCTCTACGAACTTGGTGAGTGGTGCTGATCTACAGGATGGGGGGGTTCACCAGTTCACTCCTGCGAGTGAGCGAGTGACCCACTGCATGTGTGCTAGGACGAGCAGACACTTGGCCACATTTACCCTTCGGCTGGGGTCGAGCCTGTACACACTGACCACTGAGTCTCCTCCGGTTACTGCGTCTGGTCAGGTAGCTGCGTCGGGTCAGGTGTCTGCTGCGGCGTGCAGGTCTGGTCCTACGTCTGCCCCCTGCTCGTGTCGTCTCCTGTCTCACCAGACTCTCCTCTGGCACCACCGCCTTGGTCACCCCTCCCTGCCTCGTCTCCGAGGCATGGCCTCCCGTGTCCTTGTCTCCGGTCTCCCCCGGTGCCTCCCTCCCCTTCCTCTAGGGCCTGCCCCTACCTGTGTTCCCTGTGTCGAGGGGCGGCAGCGCGCCGCTCCTCACTCCTCCGAGTTTCCTCCGACAGAGGCTCCACTGCAGACGCTTCACATGGACGTGTGGGGCCCAGCCCGCGTCTGTGGACAGGGTCACGAGCGTTACTTCCTGCTGGTGGTTGACGACTACTCGCGTTACACCACAGTCTTCCCCTTGCGCAGCAAGGGTGAGGTCACTGGGGTGTTGATCGACTGGATCCGCGCAGCTCGTCTCCAACTCAGAGAGAGTTTCGGCTCGGACTTTCCTGTTCTGCGTCTGCACTCTGACAGAGGCGGAGAGTTCTCCTCTGACCTTCTCCAAGCCTTCTGTCGTGCACGGGGTATCCGCCAGACGTTCACGCTTCCGGCCTCTCCACAGAAAAATGGGATTGCTGAGCGCCACATTGGCATGGTTATGGACGTCGCTCGTACGTCCATGGTCCATGCAACTGCTCCCCATTTTCTGTGGCCGTTTGCGGTTCAGTACGCGGCGCATCAGATCAACCTTCAGCCCCGGGTCTTCATGCCGGAGACCTCCCCTACTCTGCGGTGGACGGGGAAGGTTGGCGATGCGTCTGCGTTCCGTGTCTTGGGATCTCGGGCGTTTTTCCGCGACTTGTCTGCGGACAAGCTGTCCCCCCGTGCTGTTCCCTGCGTCTTCCTTGGCTTCCCCCCTGACACGGCAGGTTGGAAGTTTTACCACCCCACCTTGCGCCGTGTTCTGTCCTCTCAGGACGTCACGTTTGACGAGTCGGTTCCCTACTACCGTCTCTTCCCCTACCGCACTTCGTCCCCCCCCCGCCTCCGCTCTTCCTCGTGCTAGGTCCCCCCCCGGTAGACCCCCTTCCCCCTCAGGGTCCTGCCCCCTCAGGTGTGTCCCAGGTAGATGCAGTCTAGCCTGTCGAGGTAGCTGTTGACTCTGGTGCTGCTAGGGGTGCTGAGCCTGCGGGTGCGGAGTCTGGGGGTGCTGAGCCTGGGGGTGCTGAGACTGGGGGTGCTGAGCCTGCGGGTGCGGGGTCTGGGGGTGCTGAGCCTGGGGGTGCTGAGACTGGGGGTGCTGACCCTGGGGGTGCTGACCCTGGGGGTGCGGAGTCCGGGGGTGCTGCGCCTGCTCGTGTGGCGTCTGACAGGGCTGGGTCTGGAGGTCCTTCGGGTGCTTCGTCCCGGCGCGAGCTACTCTCTCCACAGGAGCTGCGCGAGTGGTTTGCTCGCCGTTGGAGCCGTGCTGCTGGAGCTGGAGGTGCTGGTGGTGTTGGAGGTTCTACTGCTGCTGAGGGTGCTGGTGCCGCGGGTCCCAGGGTTGCTCGTCCTAAGGGTTCTGGAGCTACTGGGCCTGCGGGTGCACCTGGTGCTGGAGCTGGTGGTGCTGCTGGCGTAGGTGCTGCTTGTGCTGCTGGAGCTGGAGCTGCTGCGTCTTCTGGTGGTCCGGCTGGAGCTTGAGGTGCTGGGGGTGTTGGCGCTGGAGGTACTGCTGGCGCTGGTGCTTCTGAGGGTGCTGGAGGTGCAGGAGTTGGCGCTGCTGGAGCTGGGGGTGGTACTGGTGCTGGTGCTGCTATTGAGGGTGCTGGTGTTGTTCCTACTGGTTCTGGTGGAGCTGCGCGGCTGCGGCCATACTTCGTTCCGCTCCTTGAGCAGGTTCTTGGTCTTCTGTCCTCTGTTGGTCGTGCTCCTCCCTTAGAGTGTCCACAGCCTGTCCAGTCCAAGTCACAGTTACAGCCAGCCTCCCCACTGCCTACTCCTTCTCCCTACACTAGTCTTACTGGAGGTCTTGCTGAGCGTCGTGAGCCTTCGTCTCGTCTTGCGTCGCCTGTCCGTGCTGCTCGCACTAGTGGTCGTGGTTCCCGTCACCGTCCTCCCCCTGTCCCCGGCACGCATCGGATGTCTCTGCGTCCTTCCACTGCTCCGCTACGTGCCCCTTTGCCTTCTCCTCCTAAGTCCTCTCTTCGTGTTCTTGCTGACCCGGAGTCGGACTCCCTTCGTGCTGCCAGTCCTAGTGTCACGCGTCTCCTTGCTACCGTCGTCACTGACCCTTCCTTTGAGTCCGCTGCTGCGTTTGCCTTAGTTTCTGAGCTTGTCGACTTTGCTGCTTGCTGTCGTCTAGACTACGCTGCTAGTCTTGTCGCTGAGTCTGAGTCTGTCTGTCCTCCGTCGGCCAGTTTACGGTCTCCGCCAGGCACCTCGTGAGTGGCACGACACACTGAGGACTACACTTGCGGCTCTTGGGTTTGCTCCTTCCACTGCTGACCCGTCGCTGTTTCTGCGCACCGACACCTCTTTACCGCCGTTCTACATCCTCGTGTACGTCGACGACTTGGTCTTTGCCACAGCTGACACTGCTGGACTCGCCCACGTGAAGTCCGAGCTGCAGAATAGACACACGTGCACAGACCTGGGTGAACTACGTAGCTACCTTGGCTTGCAGATCACCCGGGACAGAGCACAGCGCACCATTACCTTGACTCAGTCACACATGGTGCAGCAGGTCCTTCAGTGCTTCGGCTTCACGTACTCCTCGCCTCAGGCCACTCCTCTGTCTACTCGCCACTCGCTCTCAACTCTGCCTTCGGATGAGTCCGTAGAGCCGAGTGGCCCGTACCCAGAGCTTGTTGGCTGCCTCATGTATCTGATGACCTGCACACGACCTGACCTTGCATACCCTCTTAGCATTCTGGCACGCTATGTTGCTCATGGGAGACACCTCCCTGAGCACATGGTTGCAGTGAAGAGGGTGTTGCGCTACTTGTGCAGTACATCGGGCATGGGGCTAGTGCTTGGAGGGCGAAGTCCAGTGGTCCTCACAGGTCACGCAGACGCTTCTTGGGTTGACGACTTGGCTACGCAGCGGTCGTCACAGGGTTACACCTTCAGCCTTGGTTCCGGCTCTGTTTTGTGGCGGTCTACCCGCTCGACTTCTGTTCTCAGCTCCAGCTGTGAGGCTGAGATCTACGCAGGGGCCATGGCTGCACAGGAGTTACGCTGGCTCACCTACCTGGTGACTGACCTTGGAGAGCCGCCTCGTTCTCCTCCAGTTCTGTACGTAGACAACAAGGCCATGCCGGCCTTGTGTCGGGAGCACAGACTGGAGCACAGAACGAAGCACATTGCTCTTTGCTACTTTCTTGCTCGTGAGCTGCAGCAGCGTGGTCAGCTGCGACTTGCTTACGTGGCCTCTCAGGTCAACACTGCTGATATCTTCACCAAGGCACTCGCGCCTTGTGATCATCAGCGCTTTTGTACTCTGTTAGGTCTTGTACCTACTCTGCCTCACTTGCTCACTTCTTGACCTTGCTTGTACTGTACCTTATATATACTTGCACTTGCATGTTTAGCTTTATAAATATACCTGCATGTGAACTGGCCTTGTGGCCCTTGAAGTCGTGCTCGGAATGTGTGGTGACGTTGTGATCCACCCTGAGCTTGCTGTGCTTTACTTGACTGGTCTTGTGACCCCTTGTTCTCCCCCACTTTGCCTATGGGGGTGTGTCAAACTTATATACTTTAGTCTTTCTAGGCTATAGTGGGGTAGACAGTATGGGGTACAGTTCTCTAGGGTTTCATACTTGTACCCAACTCATTTTCTAGTTCATCATTCATTCCTCATTTTTTCACAGTAATTTTTTACCCTAGTGGCAAAAACGAAATCTCAGCCGTCGATTTGAGCTAAGCTATCCATTGCAGTCAGAGCTGCCTATGATTCGTTGCTCACAAAAGGTTGGAATGTGAGCCGTCGATTCATTTTTTATTCAGCCGTCGATTTTTAAATGCAAAGCTTGAGCTGAACCGTAGATGTGGAAATAACAGGACGGTGAGGATTCAACATCGACTTTGCAAGGTTGGATTCACAACCGTCGCTTTTTCTAACTGCCAACGATCGAGATTTAAGGTGAATTGGTTGGAAAATCAACCATCGATCTGGTTAGACAGCAGATATTCTGTGATTGTTTCAACTGTCATTGCGTGAGAACCATAGACATGTGTATGAATAAATGGTTTCGATTGAAGTTGAAATGAGCTGGCATCAAGATAATACGATCTCGTTTCGGATTGGTCCATTTTCCATCAGGCATTGATTTCGGGGGAGCCACACTTCTTCACATTATATTGTAGGAACTACAAGACATAAATGACACCACAACACTAGCTAGATCTGGAGACATACTCTAGTGTAAGTCCTCCTTGGAAAATTTCTGGCCTTCACTCATCTAAAGGGATTATACCCGAACGACCCAACGAAATTCTTCTCCCGAAGATATCTACAGTTGCATGTCTACCAGATATGGCAAATCCACCCATGGCGCTCCCCCCCCAATCTCCTGCCTCTCACCCCTCCGATCCACCCAGTCCGCCTCGCCCTCCCCTAGTATATACGCTGCCCGCAATAAGATCACCCGAGCCTGTGCCTTCTGCAAAGCTACCCCCACCGCGGTCGTCAAAGACCCCACCAAGTATGTTGAGAAACCCATGCTGTTGCCCCTTCCCACCCCCTTGTTTAGTGCCACCTTTAGATGAACATCCCCTTGCTGTCGCAACCACTGACGGAAACTTCCCCCCAAGCAGCCCCAAGTCTCAAGAATCAACGGGACGAAACGAACCCCTTTGTGCCGCTGCAGAAAAGGATGGTAGTCCACCGCTTTCCTCCTCTCTCGCTCCTTGGCAGCATAACCAACCGTCCGTCCACACTGCCCATGCTGCTGCACTGATAGAAAAACAGGGTCGACAACGCTCACTTCCAACGCATGTGCTTCCCCATCCATCGGTCTCCTAACCGCCACATCCACCCTCTTCCCCGCCAAAAGCGTGTCGTCCTCAATCGTAACCACCCCACCCGATGCCTTGGCTATCTTCGCCACCACCAGCTTCACTGCATCATGAACGCGAGACGGCGCATACTGGTGCTTGCAGCAGAGGGCATGGTGAGGGTCTGACGGATCCTTGAACTCCACGCCATAGACACACTTGCCAGCGACCATCAGCTGGTGGATGGGAAGGCCCAAACGGATTACAGCTGAAATGCTCCATTCGACAGGGGTGAAAGTAGCGTCATCATGCGCCGGAACTGCGTAAACCCAAGCTGTAGCACCCGGACCCTTAAGGGAAGTCAAACACGCCAGGGTAACATCATCACGGGCCATACGCCACAGTGATTGGAGACTTTCCACTGCAAAGCGACGCTACTGCGCTGGAAAAAGGCGAAGGGGGGGATTGGTGGAGCAGAGCCCAAGGCTCGGCAATTCCTGCCTGACAGCAGGCGGGAGCTGGTCTAGGGCCTTGGCAAACCAAGGATCCAATAAATCCCCGGCCTGCGGAGTGCACACCGTTCCATTTCCTTGTTCGCTCTATTGCCTCTCACTCATGTTCTACTTCTACCTCCTTTCCTCTAGCTCTTCCCGTTTACAGCCAGCTACTCCCTGGTTCACCGCCAACCAAGCTCTCGTATGTTGTTCTCTCCGATCACCTACCGAGCACGACTTTTATTGGTTTATTCAATTCCACGTTTTTCTAGCTATAGCTTACACATGACTGTTCGGAAAACGTGCGTGCTGTGATTTTTCTCCGGGTTTCTTATTGCAGTAGCTTATAGTCAATAAGCACTGCTATTAATAATCTCATCGCTTTGGCAGATTGTGAACGGGCAGTGACGCAATGGTTAGTATAAATGGAGTGCCCTTGCTGTAGCTAAGCAGTTTTTAACACTAACGCGACTTCATTTTGCAGGCGACTTGATCGTCTAAGCAGATGTGGTTTCGCGACGTCGTTGCCAAAAGTAACATCAACGCGATGTGGTTTTGCAGGTAACTCTATCGTTCAAGCAGCATACCCTACTACCCAACATCTTCGCTATTTGGTTTTGCTCGCGCTTCAGCAAGATTGACTATGACCAGTAAGTGTTTTTAGTGACTTTGATTTACTGTAGCAAAATGTTTCCCGTTTTTACAGGGATTAGGATTGAGAAATTATCGCTTACAAGTTATGCACTTACGGCGGCCCTTTGTTGTGAAGACATATGCCTGTCAATAGTTCACGTCATGTGACCGTTTTTTTTTTACCTGTATTAATTGTTTAAATATTTATTTAATATATACAATATTAAACTCACTCCCATCATAGCAAAGATTGATAAAATGCGTCACCTTGAGCTGGAAAAAAAAAAAAAAGCTAATAATTGCTCATACCGTAGTTACGTGATACAGAGATAGTATGTACTTTGTACGAACCTCAGATTTGACGGACACTAGAGTCTTAGTGTTAACTGTCAAACATTACATATGTTATGCTTGTGTAGGCTACAGTGGGTTAGCCTATAGGGGGTACACAATTCTAGGGTTTCCTACTTGTACTCATTTCACTGCTAGTTCATTCATTCCTGTTCACTTGTTTCACATGGTATAGAGCGGGTCCTTCCTTAGGACCGTTTTTTTTAGGGCCCACCGAAGCGCGCCCCGAGGCGCGCCTTTTTTTTAGCGACCCCTCGGGTCGCCATTTCCCTCGCGGCCCCGCTGTCCCTCAGACGCGGCCCCACCACCTCTCCTGATCGCGGCCCCGCCGCCTGCTTGACGCGGCCCCGCAGCCTCCACTGACGCGGCCCCGCCGCCGGCTCTGACGCGGCCCTGCCGCCCGCTTCGTCGCGGCCCCGCCGCCTGCTTGACGCGGCCCCGCCGCCTCCACTGACGCGGCCCCGCCGCCGGCTCTAACGCGGCCCTGCCGGCCCGCCGCTGCACCCTACGGCCCGCCGCCTCACCTGACGGCCCCGCCGCTGCACCTGCCGGCCCGCCGCTGCACCTGCCGGCCCGCCGCTGCACCCAGCGGCCCGCCGCTTCACCTGACGGCCCCGCCGCTGCACCTGCCGGCCCGCCGCTGCACCCTACGGCCCGCCGCTGCACCCTACGGCCCGCCGCCTCACCTGGTCGGCCCGCCGCTGCACCCTACGGCCCCGCCGCTGCACCTGCCGGCCCGCCGCTGCACCGGTCGACCCGCCGCTGCACCTGACGGCCCCGCCCCTGCACCGCCCGGGAGCCGAGCTGCCCAACGCCGAGCCGCCCGGGACCCGAGCCGCCCTGCCGCCGAGCCGCCCGGGAGCCGAGCAACCCTGCACCCGAGCCGCCCTGCCGCCGAGCCGCCCGGGAGCCGAGCCGCCCTGCGCCCGAGCCGCCCAGCCGCCGAGCCGCCCGGGAGCCGAGCTGCTGTGCACCCGAGCCGCCCGGTCGCTGAGCCGCCTTTCTGCAGAGCTGCACGACCTGCCCTGCCTGGTGAGCACAGTCCCACTGACACTGCGAGCTCTTTCCCTACTGCTTGCACTGCGTCGCTGTCGTCGCCATGGCTACCCCTAGTGTCCTAGCTTTTGACGCTGAGGGTCGCGCCATTGATTTTGAGGTCTGGTTAGACGACCTGCAGCTGTTCTTACAGTGCGACAGGGCTGACGACCTTTCTCTCTTTGACCTCACCTCTGGCGCCTCTCCTGCTCCTGCTGCTGATGCTGATCCCACTGTCCGCTCTCAGTGGGCCACCCGCGATGCTGCTGCACGTCTTGCTGTGCGTCGCCACCTCCCTACCTCTGAGCGTGCGCACTTTAGTCAGTACAAGAGTGCTCAGACCTTGTACGACGCTGTAGTTGCGCGCTACTCCTCCCCTGCCACTGCTGCACTGAGCCGTCTCATGCTTCCCTACCTCTTTCCTGACCTCTCTGCCTTTCCCACTGTTGCGGACCTCATTACGCACCTCCGCACTAGTGACACTCGCTACCGCGCCGCCCTTCCTGCTGAGTTCTGCGCTAAGAACCCACCCCCCATGTACATCGCTCTCTACTACGTAGTCGCGCGCCTCCCTGACTCCCTTCGCGTCGTCAGGGACCACTTTCTCGCAGTCTGTCCCACCACCCTCACCGTCGACCTCCTCGAGAAGGCCCTCCTCGCAGCGGAGAAGAGCATAGTCGCTGTAGGTGCTTCTCGTGGTGACCCTCGCACCCCCATCTTTGAGGGGTGCTCTCCTTCCCCCTTGCTGCCCTCTGTTGCCTCTGCTGCTGCTGCCGACCTGCTTGGTCTTGAGTCGGTCGGCGCGGCGTCTACCCCTAGTGGGAGACGTCGCTCCAGCAAGGGCAAGGGGGGCAAGGGCGCGGGTGGAGCTGGAGGGGGCGGTGGCGGTGGCGGTGGCGGCGGTGGCGGCGGAGGGAGTGGGGGTGGCGGCGGGACTAGTGGCGGGGGTGGTGGTGGTGGTGGCAGCAGCGGCGGAGACGGTGGTGGTGGTGCCAGCGGTGGTGGTGGAGGCAGCGGCGGAGGTGGAGGCGGCGGAGGTGGAGGCGGTGGAGGCGGCAGCGGAGGAGGCGGTGGTGGTGGAGGAGGTGGAGCTGGTCGGGGTGGTACCCAGCAGCGTAGTGGCGGTGGTGGTGGCCAGCGCTCGCAGCGGCAGCAGCAGCAGCGCTCGCGGGACATCCCTCCGCCTCAGCAGCTTCGTGAGTGGTACGCTGGGCGTCAGAGGGGTGGGGGTACTGGTCCCTGCACCTACGTTCTTCGTTCCGGCGACCGCGCGGGTGAGCAGTGTGGGGGTGCCCACGCCACCCAGCGCTGCTTTGGCCGCCTGACGGACGCTTGGCGTCAGCAGTTCCCTGGGGCTAGTGAGATCCCTCGCTGGGATGAGCTTCTAAGGGCTGGTGTAGCGATCTTTGATCTTGATTTTGATGCTATCCTTGCTGCTATGTATGCTGTGGATTATAGTGAGGAGAATGAGGGTTACCGGTGTTTCCAGCCCGACCCGGGCATTGGTACTGCTGCGCTAGGTGCTTGTGAAACTGCTGCTCTAGGTGCCAGTGCGTCTGTGCTCTCAGGTACTGGTGAGACTGCGCTCTCAGGTACTGCGTCGTCCTCGTCCTCCCTCACTTTCACACTTGACTCCGGGGCTTCTCGCTCCTTCTTTTGAGACCGCACTACCCTTACGCCGCTCGGCCGGCCGGTTGCGGTCTCCCTTGCTGACCCCTCTGGGGGTCCTGTCCTGTCTCACTTCTCCACTGTCCTCCCGTGTCCGGCTGCCCCTTCGGGCACCCTGTCTGGTCTGTACCTTCCCTCGTTCTCTACAAACTTGGTGAGTGGAGCGGACCTGCAGGATGTGGGGGTTCACCAGTTCACTCCTGCGAGTCAGCGGGTGACCCACTGCACGGAGGCACGCACAGGCCGACACCTGGCCACGTTCTCGCGTCGGCCGGGGTCGAGTCTCTACACCCTGACCGTTGAGTCTCCTCCTGTCCCTGCGTCTGGTCAGGTGGCTGCGTCGGGTCAGGTGCTTGCTGCTGCGTCCCGGTCAGGTCCTGAGTCTGCCCCCTGTTCTTGTCGCCTCCTGTCTCACGAGACTCTCCTGTGGCACCACCGTCTTGGCCACCCCTCCTTGCCCCGTCTTCGGAGCATGGCTTCCCGTGTCCTTGTCTCTGGTCTTCCCCAGTCTCTCCCTCCTCTCCCCTCCGGGCCAGGACCTTCCTGTGTCCCCTGTGTCGAGGGTCGCCTCCGGGCTACTCCTCACTCCTCCCACTTCCCCCCGACAGAGGCTCCCCTGCAGACGCTTCACATGGATGTGTGGGGCCCAGCCCCCGTCCGTGGGCAGGGTCACGAGCGCTACTTCCTGTTGGTGGTTGACGACTACTCGCGTTACACCACAGTCCTCCCCTTGCGCAGCAAGGGTGCGGTCACTGAGGTGCTGATCGACTGGATCCGCGAGGCTCGTCTCCAGCTCAGGAAGAGCTTCGGCTCGGACTTTCCTGTTCTGCGTCTGCACTCGGACAGAGGCGGAGAGTTCTCTTCTCGCCTTCTGCGGAACTACTGTCGTGCACGGGGGATTCGCCAGACCTTCACGCTTCCGGACTCACCACAGCAAAATGGGATTGCTGAGCGCCGCATTGGCATGGTCATGGATGTCGCTCGTACGTCCATGATGCATGCGGCTGCCCCCCATTTTCTGTGGCCGTTTGCGGTGAGGTACGCGGCGCATCAGCTCAACCTTCACCCCCGGGTCTCTCGGCCTGCGATGTCCCCAGCCTTGCTGTGGACGGGGAAGGTTGGCGATGCGTCTGTGTTCCGTGTCTGGGGATCTCGGGCGTTTGTCCGCGACTTGTCTGCGGACAAGCTGTCCCCTCGTGCTGCTCCCTGTGTCTTCCTTGGCTTCCCCTCTGACGCCCCAGGGTGGCAGTTTTACCACCCCTCCTCTCGTCGTGTTTTGTCCTCCCAGGACGTCACGTTCGACGAGTCAGTCCCCTTCTACCGTCTCTTCCCCTACCGCACTCCTTCCCTCCCCCCTCCCCCAGAATTCCTTGTGCCGGTTCCCCCCCCGGTAGACCCCCTCCCCCCTCAGGTTCCTGCCCCCTCAGGTGTGTCCCAGGTAGACGCCGTTGACCCGGTCGAGGTTACTGGTGACTCTGGTGCTGCTGCGGGTGCTGAGCCTGGGGGTGCTGACTCTGGGGGTGCTGTGCGCGGGGGTGCTGAGCCTGGGGGTGCTACTGCTGGGGGTGCTGGGCCTGAGGGTGCTACTGCGGAGGGTGCGGAGCCTGGGGGTGCTGAGCCGGGGGGTGCTGTGCCTGGAGGTGCTGGGTCTTGGGGTGCTGGGTCGGGAGCTGCTGAGCCTGGGGGTGCTGAGCTGGGAGCTGCTGAGCCTGGGGGTGCTGCGTCTGGAGCTGCTGACCCTGGGGTTTCTCCTGCTGCTGCGTCTCGCCGGGAGCCCCTCTCTCCACAGGAGCTGCGCGAGTGGTTCGCTCGCCGCTGGAGGCGTGCTGCTGAGTCTGGAGGTGCTGCTGGAGCTGGAGCTGGAGCTTCTTCGACCGTCGAGGGTGCGGGTGCTGCCGGTCCCGGAGCTGCTGGACCTGCGGGTCCTCCTGGAGCTGGAGCTGCTGAGGGCGTTGGTGCTGAGCCTACTGCTGTTGGTCCTGCCGCTGGAGGTGTGGGTGGCGCTGGTGCTGTCGCTGAGGGTGCTGGTGCTGTCCCTGCTGAGTCTGGAGCTGCCGCGCGGCCTCGGCCGTACTTCGTTCCGCTCCTGCAGCAGGTTCTTGGTCTTTCTCCTCTAGTAGAGGGTCCACCACCTGTCCAGTCGCAGTCCCTGCTGGAGCCTTCCTCTCCACTGCCTGCTCCCTCTCCTTACACTGGTCCTACTGGAGGTCTTGCTGAGCGTCGTGAGCTTGCGTCTCGTCCCGCGTCGCCTGTTCGTGCTGCTCGCGCTAGTGGTCGCAGTTCGCGTCAGCGTCCTCCTCCTGTCCCTGGCACGCACCGGATGTCTCTGCGTCCGTCCACTGCTCCTCTGCGTGCCCCTTTGCCTTCTCCTCCTGAGTCCTCTCTTCCTGCGCTTGCCGACCCTGAGTCGGACTCTCTTCGTGCTGCCAGTCCTACTGTCACGCGTCTGCTTGCTACTGTCGTCACTGACCCCTCTTTTGAGTCCACTGCTGCGTCTGCTCTAGTCGCTGAGCTCGTCGACTTTGCTGCTCGCTGTCGTCTCGACTACGCTGCTAGTCTTGTTGCTGAGTCTGCGTCTGTCTGTCCTCCGTCCGTCGGGGGTGAGTGTGCTCTTGGCACGGACGTCCTAGAGGACAGGCAGGAGGAGTTACAGTGTCTAGCGGCTACTTCACCTCATCTCGCGTCTGTACTGCTTGCCCCTGAGGGAGACCCGGATGCACTAGACATCCCGACTCCGCGTTCTTACGCGGAGGCCGTAGAGGGTCCCTACTCCTCTCAGTGGCAGGCAGCTATGGATGCAGAGATGGCTTCCTGGAAGTCCACAGGCACCTACGTTGACGCGGTTCCCCCTCCTGGGGCGAACATCGTCAGTGGCATGTGGATCTTCAGGGTGAAGCGGCCGCCGGGCTCTCCACCTGTCTTCAAGGCACGGTACGTTGCTCGTGGCTTCAGTCAGCGGCAGGGAGTTGACTACTTTCAGACCTTCTCTCCCACCCCGAAGATGACTACTCTTCGGGTGCTGCTGCACATAGCCGCTCAGCGCGACTACGAGCTTCACTCTCTCGACTTCAGCACTGCGTTCTTGCAGGGTAGCCTGCACGAGGAGATCTGGCTTCGCCGTCCACCTGGCTTCACTGGGACTTTCCCTCCTGGCACCCAGTGGAGCCTCCGACGGCCAGTCTACGGTCTCCGCCAGGCACCGCGTGAGTGGCACGACACACTGAGGACTACGCTTGCGGCTCTTGGGTTTGCTCCTTCTACTGCTGACCCGTCGCTGTTTCTTCGCACCGACACTTCCCTGCCGCCGTTCTACATCCTCGTGTACGTCGACGACTTGGTCTTTGCCACAGCGGACACTACTGGACTCGCCTACGTGAAGTCCGAGCTGCTGAAGAGACACACGTGCACAGACCTGGGTGAACTGCGCAGCTACCTTGGCTTGCAGATCACTCGGGACAGAGCACGCCGCACCATTACCTTGACTCAGTCACACATGGTGCAGCAGGTCCTTCAGCGCTTCGGCTTCACGTACTCCTCGCCTCAGGCCACTCCTCTGCCTACTCGCCACTCACTCTCAGCTCTGCCTTCGGATGAGTCCGTAGAGTCGAGTGGTCCGTATGCAGAGCTTGTTGGCTGCCTCATGTACCTGATGACCTGCACACGACCTGACCTTGCATACCCTCTGAGCATTCTTGCACGCTATGTTGCTCCTGGGAGACACAGACCAGAGCACATGGCTGCAGCGAAGAGGGTATTGCGCTACCTGTGCAGTACGTCGGGCATGGGGCTAGTGCTTGGAGGGCGGAGTCCAGTGGTCCTTACCGGCCACGCGGACGCTTCTTGGGCTGACGACCAGGCTACGCAGCGGTCGTCACAGGGTTACACCTTCAGCCTTGGTTCCGGCTCTGTCTCGTGGCGGTCTACTCGCTCGTCTTCGGTTCTCGGCTCCAGCTGTGAGGCTGAGATCTACGCCGGGGCCATGGCTGCACAGGAGCTTCGCTGGCTTACCTACCTGCTGACTGACCTTGGAGAGCCGCCTCGTTCTCCTCCAGTGCTGTACGTAGACAACAAGGCCATGCTGGCCTTGTGTCGAGAGCAGCGCTTGGAGCACAGAACGAAGCACATTGCTCTCCGCTACTTCCTTGCTCGTGAGCTGCAGCAGCGTGGTCAGTTGCGACTTGCGTACGTGGCCTTTGAGGCCAACACTGCTGATGTGTTCACCAAGGCACTCGCGCCTTGTGACCATCAGCGCTTTTGCACCCAGCTGGGTCTTGTACCTGTCTTGCCTCACTTGCTCTCCTCTTGACTTCACTTGTACTGTGACATATATATATACCTGCTCTTGCTTGTCTAGTTTTATATATATGTCTGTACTCCTGCATGTGAACTGGCCTCTGGCCCTGCTCTTGTGCTCGGACTGTGTGGTGACTTTGTGATCCACCCTGAGCTTGCTTTGCTTTGCTTTGCTTGACTGGTCTTGTGACCCCTTGTTCTCCCCCACTTTGCCTATGGGGGTGTGTCAAACATTATATATGTTATGCTTGTGTAGGCTACAGTGGGTTAGCCTATAGGGGGTACACAATTCTAGGGTTTCCTACTTGTACTCATTTCACTGCTAGTTCATTCATTCCTGTTCACTTGTTTCACATTAACCTCGTACACAGTGTATCGTGCTGGTATGAGTATGGTCTTTCTGTACGAAGAATATGGATACAATATGTTCTACTCAAAATTTGAGTATACACATAGCACTTACCTTATTGCCAGGTGTAGAGTAGCTTGTAAGTCGCAGAACCTATACTACATAGTTCGTGAGTACATTGTGCGCACTACGTATTTTCAATGTGTCGACATTGTGTTTACTTAGCATTTCCACCGAACAAATTTGGGATGTTGGAAATTACTGGTGTGTCTAACATCCACACGTCTCTGAGGCGGAAAAGGGAGGGCACAGGTTAGTGCATCGTATTGGGTGTGGGACCTCGGCAAATACTGGTAAGTTTAACTCGAGTCTCCTCCACACGACCTCTGCCAATCCCCTGCCACCACCTTTGGTTGCCTCCCCAACCCCTTCGCCCATATGGGAGTTTAGAGTGTCGTACCGCGTGTTGTCAAACTTATATGCTATAGTCTGTGTAGGCTGTAGTGGGGTAGCTCATATGGGGTACAACACTTTAGGGTTTCCTACTTGTACTCCTCATGCTGCTTAATGCAATCATTCCTCATTTCTTCACATGGTATAGAGCAGGTTCCCTAGTGGGAACGTTTCCTAAGGCCCACCACTGAAAATCATTTTTTTTTTCCTGCCCGGAGCGCGCTTCCCTCCTGCCCGAGTCGCGCCCCGTGTGCCCTCCCTCCCGTCGCGTCCCTAGCCCTTAGCTGCCTGTCGCGCCCTCCTCAGGCCCCTCGCGGCCCCTTTCGCGGCCCCTCACGGCCCCTCTCACGGCCCCATCGTCGCCGCTCTAGGCCCCGTCGCCGCCCCTCTAGGCCCGTCGCGGCCCCTTCGCGGCCCCATTGCCGCCCCTTCGCGGCCCCGTCGCCGCCCCTCTAGGCCCCTCGCGGCCCCTTCGCGGCCCCGTCGCCGCCCCTTGCGGCCCCGTCGCCGCCCCCTCTAGGCCCCTTACGGCCCCTCTACGGCCCCGTCACCGCCCCTGGAGGCCTCGTCGCCGCCCTTCGCGGCCACCTCGCCGCCCTTAGCGGCCCCGTCGCCGACCCTAAAAGCCCCGTCGCCGGCCCTAGCGGCCCCGTCGCCGCCCCTCTTGGCCCCTCTGCGACCCCGTCGCCGCCTCTGGAGGCCCCGTCGCCGCCCTTCGTGGCCACCTCGCCGCCCTTAGCGGCCCCGTCGCCGACCCTAGCGGCCCCGTCGCCGCCCCTAGCGGCCCCTTCACCCCTGAGCCGCCCAGCAGCTGAGCAGCCGAGCCACCACGCCGCCAGCCGCCCAGCAGCCGAGGCGCCCGACAGCCGAGCCGCCGAGCCGCCCAGCAGCCGAGCCGCTGAGCCGCCGCGCCGCCTAGCAACCGAGCCGCCGAGCCGCCCAGCAGCCGAGCCGCCCAACAGCCGAGCCGCCGAGCCGCCCAACCGCCGAGCCGCCGAGCCGCCGTGCCGCCCAGCAGCCGAGCCGCCGAGCCGCCCTGCCGTCGAGCAACTACTGTTCCTACCGGCGCGCCCCGGCCTTACTTCCTTGGACTGGTGAGCTCACTCCCTGCTAGGCCACTGCAGTCATGGCTACCCCCAGTGTCCTTACCTTTGATACTGAGGGTCGTGCTGTTGACTTTGAGGTCTCGGTCAATGACCTCCAGCTGTTCCTACAGTGCGATAGGGCAGACGGACTCTCCCTGTTCGATCTCACCTCTGGTGTCTCTCCTGCCCCGCCTGCTACTGCTGACAGCACTGTTCGCTCACAATGGGCCACGCGCGATGCTGCTGCCCGTCTTGCTGTGCGTCGCCACTTACCGACCACTGAGCGTGGGCACTTTAGCCAGTACAAGAAAGCTAAGACCTTGTACGGCGCTGTAGTTGCACGCTACTCTTCCCCTGCCACTGCTGCGCTTAGCCGCCTCATGCTACCGTACCTGTTCCCTGACCTTGCTGCCTTTCCCACAGTCGCTGACCTCATTACGCACCTTCGCACTAGCGACACTCGCTACCGCGCTGCGCTTCCTGCTGATTTTTGTGCCAAGAACCCCCCCCCCCCCCGCCCCCCCCCCCCCCCCCCATGTACATCACCCTCTATTACATAGTCACCCGACTCCCTGACTCCCTTCGCTTAGTCGGGAACACTTCCTCTCAGTTTGCCCCACCACACTCACCGTTGACCTCCTCGAGGAGCGCCTCCTAGCAGCAGAGAAGAGCATAGTCGCTGTAGGAGCCTCTCGTAGTGACCCTCGCACCCCCGTCTTTGAGGGGTGTTCTCCCTCCCCCCTCTTGCCCTTTGCTGCTTCTGCTGCTGCGGCCGACCTCGTTGGCTTCGAGTCGGTCGGCGCTGCGTCTACCCCTAGCGGGAGACGCCGCACCGGCAAGGGTAAGGGGGGCAAGGGCGTTGGAGGGGCTGGCGGGGGCGGTGGAGGTGGTGGTGGAGGCAGTGGAGGGGGTGGGGGTGGTGGTGGGAGTGGTGGCGGGGGTGGAGGTGTCGGTGGCAGCAGTGGAGGCGGAGGAGGCGGCGGTGGTGGCGGAGGGAGTGGAGGCGGCGGAGGTGGCGGAGGTGGCGGAGGTGGTGGAGGCGGCGGAGGTGGCGGAGGCGACGGAGGCAGCGGTGGAGCTGGTCGCGGCTCTGCGCAGAGGAGTGGCTCCGCTGGTGGTCCGCGCCAGCAGCAGCAGCGCAGTCGTGAGACCCTGTCCCCTCAGCAGCTTCGTGCGTGGTACGCTGGGCGTCAGCGGGGTGGGGGTACTGGTCCTTGCACCTACGTCCTCCGTACAGGCGACCGCGCTGGTGAGCAGTGCGGGGGCACGCACTCCACCCACCGCTGCTTCGGCCGCCTGACGGACGCTTGGCGTCATCAGTTCCCTGACGCCACTGAGATCCCTCGCTGGGGAGAGCTGTCTAGGGCGGGGGTTGCTATCTTTGATCTTGACTATGATGCTATTCTTACTGCCATGTATGCTGTGTCTATTAGTGATGAGGGTGACTGTTACCTGTGTGTTCCGCCTGACCTAGGCATTGAGGCTGCTGCTCTAGGTGCTGGTGAGGCTGCTGCTCTAGGTGCTAGTGCGTCTGCTGCCCCAGGTGCTGGTGAGTCTGCTCTCTCAGGTACCACGCCGGCTCAGGCCTTGCACACCTTCACCCTTGACTTGGGTGCTTCCCACTCCTTCTTTTGAGATCGCACCACGCTTACGCCACTTAGTCGGCCGGTTGCGGTCTCCCTGGCGGACCCCTCTGGGGGTCCTGTCCTTGCTAGCTTCTCCACTGTCTTACCGTGTCCGGCAGCCCCCGCTGGCACCCTGTCAGGTCTTTACCTCCCCTCGTTCTCTACGAACTTGGTGAGTGGAGCTGATCTACAGGATCGGGGGGTTGACCAGTTCACGCATGCGAGTCATCGGGTGACCCACTGTACGTGTGCTCGGACAGGCCGACACTTGGCCACGTTTACCCGTTAGCCGGGGTCGAGCCTGTACACATTGACTACTGAGTCTCCTCCGGTTGCTGAGTGTGGTCAGGTAGCTACGTCGAGTCAGGTGTTTGCTGCAGCGTCCAGGTCTGGTCCTGAGTCTGCGCCCTGCTCGTGTCGTCTCCTGTCCCACCAGACTCTCCTTTGGCACCACCGCCTTGGTCACCCCTCCCTGCCTTGTCTCCGAGGCATGGCCTCACGTGTCCTTGTCTCTGGTCTCCCCCGGTCCCTCCCTCCCCTACCTCTGAGGCCTGCCCCTACCTGCGTCCCCTGTGTCGAGGGGCGGCATCGCGCCGCCCCACTCCTCCGAGTTTCCTCCGAGCGTTACTTCCTGTTGGTGGTTGACGACTACTCGTGTTACACCACGGTGTTCCCCTTGTGCAGTAAGGGTGACGTCACTGAGGTGTTGATCGACTGGATCCGCGCAGCTCGTCTCCAGCTCAAAGAGAGTTTCGGCTCGAACTCTCCTATTCTGCGTCTGCACTCTGACAGAGGCGGGGAGTTTTCCTTTGCCCATCTGGGAGCCTTCTGTCGTGCACAGGGCATCCGCCAGACCTTCACGCTTCCGGCCTCTCCACAGCAAAATGGGATTGCTGAGCGCCGCATTGGCATGGTCATGGACGTCGCTGGTACGTCCATGATCCATGCGGCTGCTCCCCATTTTCTGCGGCCGTTTGCGGTTCAGTACGCAGTGCATCAGATCAACCTTCAGCCCCGGGTCTCCTTGCCAGAGACCTCCCCCACCTTGCGGTGGACGGGGAAGGTTGGCGATGCGTCTGCGTTTCGCGTCTGGGGATCTCGGGCGTTTGTCCGCGACTTGTCTGCGGACAAGCTGACCCCCCGTGCTGTTCCCTGCGTCTTCCTTGGCTTCCCCCCAGACACGCCTGGTTGGAAGTTTTACCACCCCTCCTCGCGCCATGTTCTGTCCTCCCAAGACGTCACCTTTCACGAGTCGGTGCCTTACTACCGTCTCTTCCCCTACCGCATTGCGCCCCTCCCACCGCCGCTGCTCTTCCTTGCGCCAGGTCCTCCCTCGGTAGATCCCCTCCCCCCTCGGGGTCCTGCCCCGTCAGGTGTGTCCCAGGTAGACGCAGTTGAGCTTGTCGAGGTAGCTGTTGACTCTGTTGCTGCTAGGGGCGCTGAGCCTGCGGGTGCCGGGTCTGGGGGTGCGGAGCCTGGGGGTGCTGAGTCTAGGGGTGCTGAGCCTGGAGGTGCTGAGTCTAAGGGTGCTGAGCTTTGGGGTGCTGAGTCTGGGGGTGGTGAGCCTGGGGGTGCGGAGCCTGGGGGTGCTGAGCCTGGGGGTTCGGAGCCTGGGGGTGCGCAGCCTGGGGGTGCTGGGTCTGCTCGTGTGGCCTCTGGCGGTGCTTCGTCGAGGCGGGAGCTACTCTCTCCGCAGGAGTTACGCGAGTGGTTTGCCCGGCCCTGGAGCCGTGCTGCTGGAGCTGGAGGTACTACTGTTGCTGCTGGTCCTGTAGGTGCTCGTCTTGACGGTTCTGGAGCTGCTGGGACTAGGAGTCCTGCTGGAGGTACTGCTGGAGCTGCTGGCGGTACTGGAGCTGACGGTCCTGCTGGAGTTGGTGCTACTGGAGCTGCTGGAGCTGCTGGAGCTGGAGCTGCTGGGGGTGTTGGCGCTGGTGGTTCTGCTGGCGTTGGTGCTTTTGAGGGTGCTGGAGTTGGCGCTGTTGGAGCTGGAGGTGCTGCTGGCGCTGGTGCTGCCGCTGGGGATACTGGTGCTGTCCCTGCTGGTTCTGGACGCGCTGCGCGGCCGAGGCCGTACTTCGTTCCTCTCCTTGAGCAGGTTCTTGGTCTCCCGCCCTCTACTGGTCCTGCTCCTCCCTTAGAGTGTCCACAACCTGTCCAGTCGCGGTCACAGTTACAGCCCGCCTCCCCCCTGCCTGCTCCTTCTCCCTACACTGGTCCTACTGGAGGTCTTGCTGAGCGTCGTGAGCCTGCGTCTCGTCCTGCGTCGCCTGTTCGTGCTGCTCGCACTAGTCGTCGTGCTCCGCGTCCGCGTCCTTCTGCGATCCCCGGCACACACCAGATGGCACTGCGTCCTTCCACAACTCGTCTGCGTGTCCCGTTGCCGTCTCCTCCAAAGTCCTCTCTTCCTACTCTTGCTGACCCGGAGTCTGACACTCTTCGTGCTGCCACTCCTACTGTCACGCGTCTTCTGGCTACTGTTGTCACTGACCCTTCTTTTGAGTCCACTGCTGCGTCTGCCTTAGTTGCTGAGCTTGTCGTCTTTGCTGCTCGCTGTCGTCTAGACTACGCTGCTAGTCTTGTTGCTGAGTCTGAGTCTGTTTGTCCTCCGTCCGTCGGGGGTGAGTGTGCTCTTAGCACGGACGTCCTTGAGGACAGGCAGGAGGAGTTCCAGTATTTTGCTGCTGCTTTGCCTCATCTCGTGTCCACACTCATTGCCCCTGAGGGAGACCCGGATGCACCAGACATCCCGACTCCTCGATCGTACACTGAGGCGATCGAGGGTCCCTACTCCTCACAGTGGCAGTCAGCCATGGACGCACAGATGGCTTCCTGGAAGTCCACAGGCACCTATGTTGATGAGGTTCCCCCACCTGGGGCGAACATTGTCAGTGGCATGTGGATTTTCAGGGTGAAGCGGCCGCCGGGTTCTCCGCCTGTCTTCAAGGCGCGTTACGTGGCTCGTGGCTTCAGTCAGCGGCAGGGAGTTGACTACTTTCAGACCTTCTCCCCCACCCCGAAGATGACCACTCTTCGGGTGCTGCTGCACATAGCCGCTCAGCGCGACTACGAGCTCCACTCTCTTGACTTCAGCACTGCTTTGTTGCAGGGCAGCCTGCACGAGGAGATCTGGCTGCGCCGCCCACCTGGCTTCACTAGGTCGTTTCCTCTTGGTACCTAGTGGAGCCTCCGGCGGCCAGTCTACGGTCTCCGCCAGGCGCCCCGTGAGTGGCACGACACACTGAGGACTACACTTGCGGCTCTTGGGTTTGCTCCGTCTACTGCCGACCCGTCGCTGTTTCTGCGCACCGACACCTCCTTGCCGCCGTTCTACATCCTCGTGTACGTCGACGACTTGGTCTTTGCCACAGCTGACACTGCTGGACTCGCCCACGTGAAGTCCGAGCTGTAGAAGAGACACACGTGCACAGACCTGGGTGAACTGCGCAGCTACCTTGGCTTGCAGATCACCCGGGACAGAGCACAACACACCATTACCCTGACTTAGTCACACATGGTGCAGCAGGTCCTTTAGCGCTTCGACTTCACGTACTCCTCGCCTCTGGCCACTCCTCTGTCTACTCGCCACTCGGTCTCAGCTCTGCCTTCGGATGAGTCCATAGAGCCGGGTGGCCCGTACCCAGAGCTTGTTGGCTGCCTCATGTACCTGATGACCTGCACACGGCCTGACCTAGCATACCCTCTTAGCATCTTGGTACGCTATGTTGCTCCTGGGAGACACCGACCAGAGCACATGGCTGCAGCAAAGAGGGTGTTGCGCTACTTGTGCAGTACGTCGGGCATGGGGCTAGTGCTTGGAGGGCGACGTTCAGTGGTCCTCACAGGTCACGCAGACGCTTCTTGGGCTGACGACCAGGCTACGCAGCGGTCGTCACAAGGTTACACCTTCAGCCTTGGCTCCGGCTCTGTTTCGTGGCGGTCTACCCGCTCGTCTTCGGTTCTCGGCTCCAGCTGTGAGGCTGAGATCTACGCGGGGGCCATGGCTGCACAGGAGCTACACTGGCTCACCTACCTGCTGACTGACCTAGGAGAGCCGCCTTGTTCTCCTCCAGTTCTGTACGTAGACAACAAGGCCATGCTGGCCTTGTGTCGGGAGCACAGACTGGAGCACAGAACGAAGCACATTGCTCTTCGCTACTTCCTCGCTCGTGAGCTGCAGCAACGTGGTCAGCTGCGCCTTGCTTACGAGGCCTCTGAGGCCAACACTGCTGATATCTTTACCAAGGCACTTCCGCCTTGTGATCATCAGCGCTTTTGTACGATGCTAGGTCTTGTGCCTACTTGGCCTCACTTGCTCACTTCTTGACTTTGCTTGTACTGTGATCTATATATACCTGCACTTGCATGCTTACCCTTGCTAGGTTGAGATCAGTGCCTTGTTTGTTTATCTTGATATATAGTTAGGCAAGACACAAAATGCGATTTGTAACTTCACTTGTTTCCCAAGTTACCGCGTGCCCCTCGTTTCACCCCTAGTCGCACACGCAACCGAACCGAATTCGGTGAACACTCCGCAAGTCCGAATCCCGAACTTTCTCGAACGCGCCTTGGTCTCGAAGCACATTTTTCCCCTCGTCAATCTCATTCTCGATGCTTCTCCTTCTCTCTTCCTCCTTCTAGCACATTTCTTCTCGATTTCTCTCCCGCTTCTCACGCCGTAGCCTCTATTCCCCACCGTAGGCCGATTTCCACCGTTTCACACACGCGCTTCCATTTCGTCGTCATTCTGCCGTCGTAGATGCTTTCGCCGTAGGTTCCGTGGTTGGGCGAACCAACCCTAACAATCTCCCCTGTGGTTCGTCAACCACGAACTCCACTCGCACTCCTCCCCTGCTCCTTGTAGCCTTCACAGGGTCTAAGTCGGCTTCACGCTCCCCTGCAGCTCCTGCACCTTGAACCTCTGCTTATGTGTCTTGTAGTTGAGCGCCTTGACATCCAAACCTTGAGAGATTTTCTTATGCCTCTCGCTTCTCCTCGGCATCTTTACACCCAACACCTCTCGGGTCTCGTACCCTTCAACGCATTCATCCTGCTTAAGCACTTGCCCCTTTGCAGTTGCATTCGCCTGTGATCCTTTCACCATGATGTCCCCTTTCACAGCTTCAACTCCCACATACTTCGCATTTACTGCTTCATCTTCAACCACGATCGTTGCTGCAAAAGTGTTGACATCGTCTCCATCTCCACCGTTTACTGCTGCTGCATCCATGATCACTATCTCCTCTTCCTGCTTCACTGCTGCCTCCACACTCGCTCCCGTATCATCCGTGTCCTCGCTCTTATCAACCTTAGTCAATAACTCCTCCAATTCTCCCATCTCACCATACTCAGGATCCTCAGAGATCTCATCCATATCATTCATCGCGACCAAGTTCATCTCATAGAACCCGTCACTGAAGTAACCATCCGCATACTTCTCCCACTCAGGACCAAACACAATCACCTCACCACTGTCATAGAATATCTTGCACCCCAAGTCATCAAGCTGTGACTGACTGACCAAGTTCACCTTCAAATCCGCAACCAG